GCCCGTGGTCGCAGGTGTATCCTATTACTGCTACAAAAGATATATGATTTTTTCCAATGCCTCAAAGCCTGTGGGTGATTGACCTCAAGAAGATCCAAATCTGTCACTGCAATCACATTCCCGAGCAGAACGTGATCTCCACTGTCTTGTGGGTCAGGCTATTGAGCCAATGGCCCCGGGCGGAGTCCCTCAAGCGAAAGTCCGAAGCACAACAACCACCTCGCGTGCCAGTGTCCACCAATGCAATCGTATGCCGACACGCGAAGCACTCAGCATCGGGTGCTGGAAAATGCGCACACTACTGGACCGGAACTCGAGTGAGCGCCCTGTGCGACGCACTGCACTGGTCGCGATGGAACTGGCGCGCTACCACGTCGATATTGAGACGCTCAGTAAAACCCTGCTCGCTGAGCAAACTAAGTTGCAGGAAGTAGGTGCTGGCTACACATTATACTGTGGGGGAAACACCGCTTCAGCACCACGTGAACGTGGCTTTGAATTTGCAATTTCCGATCGCCTCCATAGCCAGCTCGTGGGTGAACCAACAGGCATCAGCGCTCGACTGATGACTGTTGGCCTACGACTCGAAAGAGGTAAGTTTGCCACCTTTATAAGCACATACGCTCCGACTATATGTTATTCTGATGACACGCGTGGTCAATTCTACACTCAGCTATCCTCCGAGATACGGTATGTGCCGAGGAGCGACCGACTATTTCTGCTGGGTGATTACAACACGCGCATGGGTGTGATGCATCGGTGTGGACACATGGCATCGGTCCGCATGGCATTGGTTCAGCGAATGCGAACGGTGACAGGCTGCTCTCACTGTGTACCACTCACGGCCTGACGATCACGAACACTCGATTTGCACTGAGTGCGAGTGATATAGCGACCTGGACGCATCCACGGAGTGGTCACGCTCACCTGCTCAACTATGTCATCGTACGTCAGCGTGATATGCGTGAAGTGCGCATGACACGTGTACTGCATGGAGCTGAGTGTGGCACTGATCACAAGTTGGTGCGGACCAAACTGTAAATATATTTTCGTAAATCTATGTATTGCACTCCTGCCGTGAATTGGCTTAAATTTAACATTCTCTCCCTCGGTACTGTGGCGAAACGTACTGAGCTGGAGAAGGCGACGACTGCACGCCTGTGTGATGTGGACTGCATAGCCACAGTGGGCGACCTGTGGCACTACATTCGCGACCGGTTGAAAGCTGCTGTCGAGGAGACCATCGGGCGCGCAAACTGTAAGCTGCTTGATTGGTTTGATGAGAACAATGCGACGATTGGCGCATTGGTGTCAGGGAAGAATGCAGCATTTGCTGCACATGTAGCAGACCCCAGTGATTTGGGGAAGAGTAGTCAGTTTCGCAAAATTCGACAGCGACTATCTCGAGAGATTCATCGCATAAAATGTGCATAGTGGACGGAGAAGGCGAAGCAGATGGAATGCTGCGCCTAACGTCGCCAACACAAGGAATTCTTTGACTCCCTGAAGGCGGTGTATGGACCGAGATTGGAGCAGCTGAGGATGCTGATCGATGGTAGTTCAGGCTCTAACTGCACACAGACTGCAGGCATAATGCAGATCTGCCGGAAAAACTTTGACTGTCTCTTGAACAACTGCTCAGAGATCAACTGGCCTACATTGAACGGCCTCAAGCAGCACGATGTGAAGACGAGTGTGGTGGACACGCCGACACTGGATGAGACGCAGAGAGCATTTGCTCAGCTGCGAAACGGCAAATGTGCTGTGGCCGACGGGATCCCGCCTGAAGTGTTGAAACACGACGGACCCGCGTTGTTGACTGCGCTGTACCACTTGGTGCAATGCGTGTGGTTTGAGCAGGAGGTGTCTCCTGAGCTGAAGGATGCCCTTGTGCTACCACTATACAAGGGAAAAGAGAGCAAGCAATGTTGCACGAATTATCGTGACATCAACTTGCTGAGTTGTGTGGGCAAGGTGATTGCCGGACTCCTACTCAACCGCCTCGTCAGTCAGGTTGTGGAACCTAACGTGCCGGAAGAGCAGTGTGGATTCCATACGGGCCGCAGCGCTAGATATATGGTGTATGCGGCTCGTCAGTTGCAGGAGAATTGAGGAGAAACATACCAGCCAATGTACTCGCTTTTGTTGTTTTCACCAAGGTATTTGATACGGTGAACTGCGAGGCATTGTGGCTGGTGTTGGGTAAGCTTGGTTGTCCGCGAAAGTTTGTAAGTTTAATTGAATGTCTGCACAGTGGTATGCGGGCGAGGGTGCAGCTGAGTGGATAGACCTCGGATGACTTTGCAGTTGTCTCTGGTGTAAAGCAAGCCTGTTTCTTAGCTCCTGCTCTGTTTAATAGATATCTTCATGCAATGATGTTTTGGGTTTTGGATGCAGTTTGTGCTTACGTTGTTCGTGTGGAACACCGTATTGATAGTGGGTTGTTGAAGATCTGTCGTTTCGGTGCGAGAACTCTAGTCTGTGAGAAAACTATCCGTATGTTGCTTTTTACTGACGACTGTGCGTTGTTTGCACACAGCGCGGATGAGTTACAGCACATGACTAGTGTTCTGGCTTCGACAGCGGCCAAATTCGGGTTAACCATCAATACAAACAAAGTTGTCTGTCTCTTTAATCTTTCACCGGAGGTGCAATCTTCAATATTGCCACAAATCAGCCTTGATGCTGAAGTATTGGAAACCAACTCCCGCTTCTGCTACCTCCGGACTGTGATGTTGACTGACCAGTAGCTACACAGTGAGCTTCGTATCCGCGTCTCGAATTCAGCGGCTGTATTCGGGAAGCTAGAGTACCGAGTGTGGAACAACCATCAGCTTACCATTGGCACGAAGCTGATGGTGTACAAATCCATGGTGCTGTCTGTTCTTCTACAAGCAATGAAACGTGGACGATGTACAGGCGCGATGTGTGATAAATCGAGCGGTTCCATCAGCAGTGTCTGCGACGGATTCTGCGCACCCGTTTGGGGTGACAGAGTTGCTTACACGGAAGTGTTGCGACAAAGTGTGATGTATGCAGTGGATGGCACACTTTTACTGAGACACCTGAGGTGACCCGGTCATGTGAGCCATATGGATTCGACGCGGATACCGAAACAACTATTATATGGTCAGCTGAGTATTGGGAAGCGGCATGTGGGGAAACCAAAATTACGTTACCAGGACATGATCAAATTGAGCCTCTCACGTTCTAATCTTGATTGCATGTCATGGGAATCGAAGTTGGTTGATCGGGGTGCATGGCGCGATCCAATCACGAAGGCGGTTGCCGAGATGCGGGAGAAAGACCTCATGCATGCAGAGAAGAAGCGGCGATTGCGGAAGCGGCAAGCACCGATGCGTTGTACTCCATCGACATCGAGCGAGTGGTGCTGTAGCACATGCGGTCGCGAGTGCCTGAGTCAGGCAGGCCTAGTGAGCCATGAGCGAGGGCACTCGGGACCACTACCGAAGCGACGACGGGTGCTGCAGAGATCGTAGACGGAACCGGTGCAGCGTTTGTAGGTTCGCTGTATACGATTTACTAACCACGTGCTTGCATGCCAAATACAGTTATTTCAGGTGGTGGGTTTTCAAATTTGTCCTAATGCTTTTCTTTCTCATATAAATGTCTACCTGTACTCTACTCTATAAACGTGCACCCGTCGCTTAATCTAATCGTCGTTAATTTCGATAACATGTTCCTGCTCGTGGCATTTCCATGAACTATACTTTCCGACCCCGCGAAATTATCTCGGAATAATTTGTAAACAATTTATTTCCTATGATCCATCTAGTGAAGAGTTATGTCACTGTCTCTGAACGCATTATCCGATTTAATTTATTTCTTCGATAAGATGCTTGGCTTTTGCTTGAATTTCGCGGTGGGGCTGCGCTTGATGTGCATGTTGACAAGGTGCCTACCTGTCTATTACCCACTACCTGGTCCATACTGTCTCTAGGGCACGGTTGGTCGTTGCTAGAGGGGACGGGATGCACGGTCGTTGTGGACATGCTAGACTCGAAGAATGGTTGCATGCACTCAGTTTGAAGCGGACTACAGTCCAGCCACCTCCTTGTGTGCACTTGATTCCCCAAATACAACGTGCTTGTTAATGAGTGTGGGCCGGCTCCGTTGATGAAACGTGGCTCCCATCCCCATGTCTCCCGGTCTTATACCTTTGGATTTACACTGGATATGGGGTGTGTGGTTGGAGCTGTGGGTGCTGTAGCGCAAGCCACTCATGGTCCCTCTGGGGCCAATCACAGGACGCCAGTGCATAGGCGCAAGCGTCTTGTGACTGTCCAGTGACAGGCGAATCCGAAGCCGGATGCCCCCAACGAAATGGTGATTCTACGGATGCGCGGTTTCTTGCTGACACTTATCAAGTTCACGCACATCATCCCACCTGACTTGTCAAGTCTTCGCATGTTGCCCGTCTTACTTCGCCATTGTTCCATTGTACTGCCTGGCTGCTGGAAAAATACTCTGAAGTCAGCTGCATACTACATGTTACCCAGTGGGAAATGTTGAACATATAATTATTCTAAATATTGTAGGATATATTTTGAGTTAACTTTACATAGAAGTGTTAAAAAAAATAACTATTTCATAACTTCCGATACAACACAGAACGCTAATGCCCAGAAAGCGTGTCAATACCATGGCAGTAGGCGACAGTAAAACAGTACAGATATTTAGATTAGTAAAATCATCGTCATGCACCTAATAAGGTATACAATTTTTGGAAATAAATATTAATACTAGTTTTGCATTTGTACTGTTATGTTCATGTTCATTACATAAAATAGATAAGAACTATTAATTTTTGTTCTATTAGCATCAATTTTGTACTAATTTGCTGTTCAATATTTTCAGTAGTCGCTGTCTGTGTTTACTCCTAAGAACCGTTTATTATTCGGCGGGGAACACGTGGGTATTAGGAAAACTAACCAAAACACATCAGTAAACCTATACTACTGTTACCAATATTGTTTAAATTAATACTGCGGAAGTTTTGTGGTGTGCAATGAACAACTGTTAGTAAAATTCAAAGAGGGATGGGAGGAACATACCGATGCTTTTTCGTAGTACTCTACATCCTCCACGGTTGCCATGTCTATTATGAATACTACCTGAGGGGCGGAAGAAAACAGACAATAACATAATATTATCTTCACATCATGGAATAGTATGAAGTTTTCATGATAAAACAACAACAGTTTTGCCATGGCGATATTACTAGACTGTGATGGTTGGTTGGTGTGATCTCCGGAGTTCATGCAAGTAAAGCAGGAGTCAGCGAACCCATTCTATAATATAGGAGGTACGGTGAAAACAGATTACTACTCTGCAATTAACTTCAGAGATGAGGATGGTCTAATGAACGTAGGTATGAAAAATTCAGACATACAACTGGTACACCGAAGCGCAAACATCATCCACATACCACTGTAACAAATCCGGATTTCAGAATTCTGTGGTCTATTGATAAAGTTTTCGACCACCAGTCATCGCCTCCCCACATAGGATGAGTAACACGGTTGTGACCATTGACACAAAAGAAGTTTCTACTTGGAACGCGGTCACAAGTAGCTAGATGACAGAGGCTTACTTAAAAGTAAGTTGTGGTCAAATTCGGGAGTGTACACGGCAAATCAGTCACATATCGAGTGCCTCAGAATGCGAATATTAGGTTATCGGTGCTGTTGAAAAACATAACTGTTTTTCTACACTCCATCTAAATAGATCCGAACGATTCGTAACCGTACTCCGTTCCGAAACCTTGTGAAACGAAGTTAATGATTCAAAAAGCAATGGCATAGGAATTTCACTTGTTCTTGTACAACAGACCTGGAATTTCAGTTTGCATTTAATTTGTACCTTAGTTGGTCCGTGTCTCACCTATTTGAAACTTAACATTTAGAAGTAAAGCTCGTTGTAGTCTGGTGGAATAAGACAGTTTACTTGAAAAACCTATACAGGAGATGATTTACCTTGGGATCATCGATGTACCAGTAGAAATAAAATCCACAAGCGTCCAACTGAACCGACGCAGTCCCTTTGAGTAGTCGGCATTCCATGGTGCTTTCCTGTACAAAGGTACCGAGCAAGAAGTGAATGAATAAAAACTTTTGGACGACTTCTTAAATCTTGCCAAGATTAACTTCATGCTTTTCGAAGTCACTGTTCAATGGCACATTCATGGAAAAGGATGGAGGCAGCCTTATACACTTCATTAACCAAAAACCAATCCTGTGCAATTCTTACCGGCTGTTACATTTTACGAGCGACTATGATATTGCAACACTAGTTAACTTGCTATAAGGTGATTGTTACCAATTTCGCTGGACGTATGGAATTATCACATACTGTCGGGTGCCCCGTGGATAAATTCGCACAATTGGGACGCCTACAGCAGAACCTCTGAAGTCGACTACATCCTTATCCTAATCAAATCACCGTCGACCGTTTTTTCATGGCTTGAATCTTCAGTTTAGAAACCCTATGGAACAATACCACCATATGTTGACTACTTCTGACCTGTGTGTTAACAACTTTTAACAGGCATCAGTAGTTTACTCATTGGGAGTCCATCTTAGCAGCTTTCAACTCAGATAAACCATCACATATCCGAAACAACACAAGATTATAGTTTCGACTTGTTGATTTTAAGTCCATCCTTATGCACTATACGTTTTTATTAGTTATCCCTGTCCGTAGCGTTAGTGTTAATTTCCGATATTCACCATTCATTGGTGTAAAGAGCGCATCCTTGACTTGACTTGGGTCTCGCAAGTAGTGAGCACCCATCATTAACTTAATCTCTGTAATTTGACCGTGAAGCTTACTGCGCAATGGTCGCCGAACCGCTCGTTTGTCCAAATAATAACGTGCAAATAACGGGATATTGCAATGTGGGGAACTCGCCGGATAAACAAGACCACTATTTAGGGCTCCGCAGATGTTTGACGACACTGCAACTTTCGATGTGTGTGTGTGTGTGGTGTGTGTGTGTGTGCGTATACATACAATAGCAGAGTGCCAGTTGTTTAGAGACAATAGTAAGTGATCTACTTGCACGGTAATGTCTACAACGACGAAAGTGTCATCTGTGTAACGGCTACAAAAGTACACGTTTTGTATGTAAGGACGCAGCTTGGTGTTTCCAGGTGGCCCATGATATTAGACAACACAAACCAAAGTAGACGGCCCAAGGCTGCATCATTCGTCTGTCGATCCAGGGTGCCGTTAAACTTACACTGGACGTTCTTCGTGCACAAGCACAGTGGTAACTTCAGATGTTGAGCTGGGAAACCGACTTTGCCGGCAAGTGCGCCCATTACGTCCAGAATCTCTTCTGATGGAACATCGGCACATAATGTACCCACATCAAAAACTTCATACAAACAGATCAAATTCGTCGAGAGTATCAAGTTGCCCTGATGAGACTGGTGGCAACATTCCTCTAAGCGGAATGCCGACCAGCATCCGAGGAACTTTGACCGTTTTCGATTCACCAATGACTATGTCTCTGGATGCGACCTAGCCTTCCACTAATTGCATCTAAACGGCTGACGAGAATAGGCGCAATAGTCAAATTCGGAGTATTCTGTCGAAATGTCGTTCCTTTTTGCCCTTGATGAAACTGGATACGCATTTTCGACTTCTTGACGATAAGAGAAAATCGCAGTACCACGGTTTCCCTAAACATTATACTACTGAACCCATTCTTTGGAAAAATCATTTAAGTTGGCTAATTAATACAGAGTCACTGTACACAATTTTAATAGCTACAATTGACTTCGACTCAACCTTTCCTTATGCTGCATTCTCAGGTGGACCTTCCTTCGATTGACACACAGTACATGCACACTAAGTCGAAAAATGTCAGCCAACAGAAGTAGACGAGTTCTCGGTTGCTGCATTCAAAGCGCTTTGGGCGGATCTGATGCGAACGTAGAAGTGAGCCCATCGCGCTCCTTCCTTGGTCATTCAAAGTTTTGACACTGATTTTTTGCAATTCCTGGGAGTATTTTTCTCCCAATCACTGCACTTTTGATTAAGTAGGTAGCCTATAAAAGAGGATTGTATGCTTCTCGTAGTGAGAGTGAATGATGATCTCTGTCCTGCATGCTTTCGCTGCGAACTAGTCGGAGTGGCCGCATTCGTTAACTTGCTTCTTGTTCCATGGTGTGACCCTACTGCTCGACTCCTTGTTTAGTTAAACAAGGAAAAATAGTATATTAAGGACAAGAAGCGAGTGCCAATTTAGTCCCGTAAGATAGTCAGAGGGAGAACCACAACATGGTAAACAAAAATGTCATAAAATGAATATCCTTTTGGTGGACTCACGATAGTGGTATGCAGAAAAGGCTAAACGCAGTTGCGTAGGTTAATTCTGGTTGTGTGATTTCCTCGTATTATTTCATCTGTCGAGACAAACAGGATAAATCTCGTAACGTAGGTGTGTTAGGGCAACGTCAAGATGTTTTTTAAACACAGGTAAAGTGGGGGCGGAAACACCGCAAATTTTGGAAAGCGTTCCCCGGCTGGCACACCCGAAGACAGCAAAAGTTTCGCTGACATTCCAGCCGACTGTATTGCATGGCCAACTTAGGCCGGTGGCCCTTCAAATTCGTTTTGTGGCGCAGTTGTAGTAGCTGGCGGCATAAGTAGTTGGGATTCCTTAGAAACTGGTAAGCCGTAATAAGGTCGCCATGTAGGCGCCGGTACCGGCCGCTGTATACTTTTAGGGTCCTCAGTCTAAGTTTATAAGGCAGATGGAATAACGCTTTGACATGCTTCGTGGCTCATTGATGTGAAGTCTCGAGGGCTGCAAGGTATTGCTTGTACCAGGGCTGCCAGGTCTGGATTGCGTATTTAACATGCGGTCGCACGTATGTGTTAAGCAACTGCGACCAGACGGAGGGATCAAACCGTCCAAATGCCCTCTGCAGCATTCCAGTGTTTGACGCATTCGCAGATTGTTAGAGCAGCCCAGATCAGCCTGGTCCAGTACCACAAAGTCGCGCTTCTGAGTGACTGCTTGTAGGACATGGTCTCCAAACTCGCATGCGATTTCCGGCTAGTGGCGAATGTGAACAACCTTACGCTTCCCCGAATTGAACTGTAGCAGATTGTGGAGTGACAACTGATACGCTCTGTCTAGGTTGCGTTGAAGTTCATCCTGGTCTGCTGGGTCGGCTATGGTTCGCCACATCTTAACATCAAACGCGCAAGCTTGTTAATGAACACAAGAAACAGACGCGGTCCCAGAACTGATTTTTTGGAACTCCACATTCGACATAACTCCGATCGGACAGCGCACTTCGAACTCTGACTTGCCGTTGCGATCCTGCAGGAAATTCCTGATCCACCCAAGAACAGTATAACCAAATCCATAGCTTCCCAGCCTGTGAAGCAGAATGCGGTGGTCCAGTTGGTCGAAGGCTCACCGGGTGTCGACACCATTCGTCCAGATGCACTGGAAGCAGCAGCAAGCCAACTGGCAGGAAATTTGGAACAGTTTTTTCAACGCTGCTTAGACCTGAATCAAGTTCCTGCTATGTGGAAGCTTGGAATAATAACCCCGATACACTAAGGTAGAAGCAGTATTAAGCTCTTTAATTACGCCCATAACCTCTACTTCCTATACTATCCAAGGTCATGGAATCCATAGTTGCCGATGCATTGGTGTGTTAGCTGGAAAACTAACATTATCCCGACAGAGCAGTACGGTTTCCGTCGACAGCGTCATGCACAATGAATTTACTAATCGCACACAGTAGTTGGACTGAGTCACCTGACGCTGAAGAAGGCTTTGATGTGATCTACCTGGATTTTTCCAAGGCTTTCGATCGTCTAGACCATCGGATACTACTATCCAAGCTGCAGCATTACGGAATCGGCGATCCTCTTTTAAGGTGGATTTCCAATCTTCTACTTCAAAGGCAATTAGTGATCAGAGGCCGAAGCTGTTTATTGGACCTAATACAAGTCGAGAGTGGTGTGCTGCAAGGTTTAGTTCCAGGTCCAGGTTTGTTTTTGGCGTTTATTAATGATCCTGCACCAGGAATCGCTTCCAACTTCCTAATGTTTACCGATGATACCAGGATCTGGCGCAGGATCCAGGTGAAGGCCGACCAGCATCTGCTTCAGAGAGACCTGGATACGGTATATCAATGGTCAACTTAAAATTTACTGCACTTTAACTTGTGTAAAGGTAAGGTACTTTTCATCCGACATCAGAGCAGCTACTCATACTGGCTCGGAACGAATGTACTTTAACCATTAACTGTCGAACGTGCCTTAAGTGTGCTGGTTCAAGATGACTTGGGTTGCCCCAGGCCATCCAAAAATCCTCGAAGTCTGGGAACCAACAGGTCGGGCTGCTGCTACGGGCGTTTGAACAAATAAACAGTTCCATATTTTGACAAATGCTCAGTGCGTATGTTCGCCCCCATGCAGAATGCGCCATTCAAGCCTGGCACCCATGGCTGAAACGCGACCTTAAAGCACTGGAGCAGCCACAACGTCGAGCAACTAAGGACGTAATTGGAAGGCGCAATTTTTCATACCAGGAGAGGCTGCAACGATTGAGGGTATTCCGCGGACGCTATCGTAGACTAGGAGGCTACCTAGTTATGACATACTTGATTCTGCGAGACCCACATCATGTGTGCCGCACATCACTGCGACTAAGCACCAATACAACCCTGAGGGGCCACTCATCGAAACTCGCAGAACAGTATAGTAGTCTGGAGTGCCGCAGCTAGATTCTTCTTTTCGTGTCTGTCACCCGTTGAATGCTCTCCTAGAATCGATCGTCTCTGCATCGACACAAAATACGGTTAGATGCCGCACTCACCGACTTTCAGTTGTCACAGCGCTACGTCTCTATCCTACACTTGGAGTTTACCATGGATTTATTTAATGTTAACTGTGGGTGCTGCAAATCTAAGTGGATTACAGGACTACGGTGGAGCAAACTTTAAGTCTTTATTTTCATATTTGAAGTTCTAAATATTTTAATATTATTATTATTATCATATCCCCACCAACCATCCAACTGGACTTGTAAAGCAACGCT